TATGAACTAATGACCAAAACCAAAGAGCTTGTTGTTGCAGAAGCCGATAGTTCTTCTCTAAGTAACTTATTTAATGAGTTACATATTGAGCAAGGTATTGTAGTGCAGGAAAATCGAAGTCTGCAAAACGAGTTGAAATCATCAAAAATCAAACTTCAACAGCTACAATATGAACTTGAAGAAATGACACAAGAGGTTTTGGCTGGAAATAACTATGCTAGTGCATTACAGAAAAGATCCGAAGAAGCTTTCCTTAACCACAGTCATTTATTTGCTGATAAAGAGAAGCAATTACAGTTATTGAGAACAAGGCTAGACCAACTAGGATTTGAACTTGAGAACAAAGAGAAAGAGGTTAATGTTGCAGAAGGCAATAATGATGTTCTGAGGAACCTATATGGAGGGTTACTTGAGGAAAACCAAAGTTTGAAGAGCCAGTTGCAGTCATATGACAACAAGTTCAAACAGCTAGAATCTGAAATCGAGAAGAAGACAGAGTTTGATCATGTTTGCGAATTGCAATTCTGGAAAGCAACGCTCAGCCAAGTAGAATATGAACTTAGGACGAAAACCGAAGAGCTTGATGTTGCGGAAGCCAATATTACTTCTCTAAGTAACTTATTGAAAGAGTTACATACTGAGAAAGATATTGTAGTGCAAGAAAACCAACAGTTACAATATGAACTTTACGAAAGGACACAAGAGTTTTTGGCTGAAAGTAACTATGTTAGTGCTTTACAAAAAAGATCTGAAGAGGCTTCTCTAAACCACCATGGTATACTTGCAGAAAAAGAGAAACAATTGCAGTCATTGAGAATAAGGCTGGACCAACTAGAATTTGAACTTGAGAACAAAGAGAAAGAGGTTTGTGTTGCAGAAGCCGATACTGATATTGTAAGGAAACTATTTGGAGAGTTACTCATCGAGCAAGGTGTTGTAGTTGAGGAAAACCAAAGCTTGAAGAGCCAGTTGCAGTCATATGACAACAAGCTTAAACAACTAGAACATGAAGTCGAGACAGAGACAGAGGCCAATATTATTTATCTGAAGGAGGATTTAGAAGATGATATTCTTGAGTATGATCAGTTACTTGAGGAGACCAAGATCTTAAGAAGCCAATTAGAACGGGAGATTGTCACAGACTCACAAGAAAGCCAAGAAGATTAATTAGGGGGTTGCAGACCTTTCAAGATGTTTTTAAGTTATTTACTTTTCATGGCAGTTGTTAGGGAGTTCCATTTTTCACATTTTAGTTCATAATTTTCATGACCATTGTTTGGAAGATGACTGTTTTTTTTCTTTTCACATTTGAGTTCTTACGTCACTTTGGGAATTATATTTTTCACATTTTATCTCGTCTTTATATTTTCTTTGATCTTATATATGCAAGCGTTTCACAGATTCACTACACTGTTTGCATCACTTATTCTTCTTGAGTCCATGGGTGGAGAGAATATAATCCGTGTGGTATTTGGTTTGCCTGTAGTAGTACTATCCACACTACAACCCAGAGTTGCAAAGAGTCACAAACATTTACAGGTGGCTATTGGGCATATCAAAAGCAAACCAAACAACTTTTTTTGCGTCTTTGGGAAGTTTGGTTAAGCTTCTGGCAGGTGGGTGTCCAGAGACACATCTTGGGTGTACAAAAAACTAACCCTATTTCAAAACAGACAACACTACGAAATGAAAGTATGATGGGGGCATGTCTAGGCTGTGTGAAAGAATAAGAGAAGGAAAACAGTGTAGAATTATAAGGAGCTGATCAATAAACAACCTTAATTCCTTGTTTACAAAATTCAGATTTCCACAAAAGACATATTGGTTACAGTTGGAGGCCGTCCAAGCCCTGCTTTTCTTCCTATGTCTACTGCTAAAGCTAGCTGCCTCACTAGCGTCTAAACCCAACCCACCACCACTAGTAGCTTTTGCATTTGTTTTTGTTGGCTGAGGCTCGTCGTCACAAATATCATTGGCTTCATATTCGTTCCAATGGAGCGTCGTATCTGGATGTTCAATGTCGTTGCTTCTCACTGTGACCCAAGTATCTTCATCATCACAAGCCCAATTGGTCACTCCTGAAAATGACACCGCTTTGCCGTCACTCAACTGTCGGATCCTTCCCCTAGCTGAGTTTGAGCAACCACTTTGATGGGTCGGTTCCCAAATGTGTTCCAAATCCAAATCAAACTCCTCCTCCCACAAACCATGATCTAACACAGTTGTGGGACTCAGCAAATAATTGGGTGCCTCAAGTAAAAATCCATGCTTGAGAAGCTCACCAGCTGACCACCTCTCCATTGGGTCCCTCAACAAACACTTGGTGACAAAGTCCCTGCCTTGCTTCGACAGAGAGCTCGGTATCTCCGGCACTTCACCGGAAAACCCGATTCGGTACATGGCCGATATAGGGTCGGAAACACAAGGCCACGGAGCCCGCCCGGTGGCCATCTCGATCACCGTGCATCCCAGAGCCCACACATCGGCGGCGAGTCCCTGTTGCTCTCCCCGAGCCACCTCCGGCGCCATGTACACCGGTGTCCCCCCAATTGGCAACCCATGATCAAAATTTACGCGCTTGGCGCAACCTAAGTCAGCGAGCTTCACGTCCGCCCCATTATTTGCGACCAAAACATTCTGACCCTTAATGTCGCAATGAGCAATTTGATTAGAGTGAAGGTGGTGCAGCCCAAGCAGAATTTGCCTCGTGTAGGATCTGATGGCGGCCTCGTTTAGACACCCGCCTTGCCTTCGAATTGCGTCGGAGAGTGTGCCTCCGGGTGCGTATTCGAGGAAGAGATTGTAAAAGACGGTGCCGTTCTCAGTGGAGGTGTTGCAGCCTTTGTATGATACAATTTGGGCAGAGCTTAATGTAGACAGAATTGTTTGCTCCATCTGAAGGGAGTGTGACTGTGAGAGCTTGGCTGACTTGACTGCGAAAACCTCACCGGAGCCATGAGACTTGGCAATGGAGACGGTGGCAGAGGAGCCATGGCCAATGGTTGGTCCCCTGGTCCAGTCCATTGGGAAGAATTTACAAGTTAGGTAAAATGGTATGTGTTGATTTTGTTTGGTGGGAGGAGCTGAATTATATATATATGCAGAGGGCAGAGAAAGCAGAGAAGCCGGAGAGAGAGGCAGAGAACAACAAGAAGGGTGTGGTGGCTTCTCACATTCAGTTGGGCTAAGAATGTGAGAAGCTATGCGCTTTTTAAAAACCTTTCTCCAGCCTTTCGGCTTTTGGACCAATGGGCGGCCGCCGTCTCTCTACAAGTCATGTGAGGCTTCCACGTGGCAAAAGGAGGGTGCAAATTGCAATGTTACTAGTTTGGCCGGCGGTTACTTAGCTTAGCTTAGCTAAGATAAGATTAGATTAGGTTAGCTTTAGGAGGTATATGATTAAATATGATTAAAGTAATTCTATTCGTTTTGGTGTGCAAGTGGAGACGTGGATTGCGGTGTTAAAGTGCATTTTCAATGGGGGCAAGGCAAGTCGCCTTGCCATTGTCCTCCTTACTCCTCAATGGATAATGAGCGTGCATGCATGAATGTATGCACAAGTACAATGGATTGGATTTGGATAATTTCATGGGATATTCTTATTAGCTTAAGTGTAGAGATTAGGTTGACTTTTAATTCACGACTCTCTGGTGTTTGAATAGTGTCTCAAGTAGAATGCCACTAGGCAATGATCAACTATTGTATGAGATCAGAGCAACCAACCCAAGCCAAAGGCTTTGTGTGCATAGCATTAGAAATTAGAGAGTTGAGTGGAGAGTTGGGATAAACTTGTATAAAGCCCCAAACCAAACCCAACTCACATTCTCTCTCTCACACCAACACCAACACCAACACCAACACCAACACCAACACCACCAACATGAGGAGTGTGTGAAGTGATGATTCATGCCTTGCCTTGCCTTGCCTAAGCCTTTACCCTTGTGATTTTAGGTCCCTCCTTCTTCTTCCCTTCTAAGCAACCCAATCATTTTAAGGGCTGGCTGCCTTTCTTTTTTCACATGCCACCTATCCATTCCTTTCTTTGCCTTCCTTTTACCTCCTCTCCTTTTATTGTCAGCTTTCGGCACTTCTTTTCAGACCCCACATTGTGCTTCATGCTAGCAAGCAACAAAACGTTTCCTTAACTTGTGTCACCCACCCTCCTTTAAGCTATTCGCTATTTATTTATTTATTTTGATATGACTTGATAATAAATTAGGCTTTCCGATGGAGAAATATTTACCTATTTCCGGTTCATTGTCCAATTCTCTTTATTTCTCTCATAATGTTACCTATCAAAAGATGAGAGAGATAGAAAGAATGAGGCAATGAAATAGAGATATGAAATTTTTTCTCCCAGGGATGGGATGTGGTTAGGCAGCTAGCTAACCGATCCAGTCTTATCATGATCAATAGAAGGGTTTGTCCAGCAGTTGACGACCAGTCGATTTTGCACTCTAGTCGTAATATCAATTCAGATGATCCATGGATTATATATCATGCACGCCAATAACTTGGACTCAAAGCCACTAGAACTATCAAGCATCATTCAAATTTTGCAATTTTTCGTAACATAAGTTTTTGGTATTACTCCCACCTCATCTTCATCACCAGCCCCATTGGGTTGTGGGCTCCTGCCTGGAATGCCCCTCCACTCCACCCCCATCAAACTATCATTCTTGTGTGGCTTTTGGTTCTGGAGATACAAGTGAACAAGTTTCTTATACGCAATACATGGGTTTGAGAACAACCCCATGGGTTTGAGAACAACCCCATGGGTTTGAGAACAACCAGTAAATAATGTCACTAGGCTTCCCCCCTATCATTCAGATTCTGTCCTGATTTGGTTCTTAAATAATCTTGCAATCTCTTGCATTTGCTAATCTCTTCTGTACTTTACGACTCTTTGGCCATGGTTAAATTTGAAGAATATCGATAAGTTGTCTCTCTTTAGCAGCTCATGCCTTTCTTTAATGAACAACTCACTGCTCTCAAACTTATAACACCGAAGATTTCAAACACTTATATTACATTTTGGCTGGGGCCAACACCTCAACTTTCGAGTTTCAAATTACATAGAGATACATAGACAGCAAGTAAACAAGATGCGCAAACAACAACCAATTTAGACAAGGGCCCAGGGAAGAGGTTCTTTACGCTGCCTCTGCAAATCCAACTCTCATATTTCCAGAATCAAAGACGGTGTGGTAGCGACCCATGAAGATATCTCCCAAGATCCTGCATTGCAGTGCCGCAAGTGAGAATCAAAACAAAAGTTTCACCATCTATAAAGCATGACAAACAATGACATGCGCTTTGAGGCAAAAAGACCAAGTGTTCAATTATATGATTATACCAGAGAGGTCCTCGGGGAGGAGGGATATCAATATTAGTGAAGCCACTTATGCACTGAGCTTGAGGACCCTCACCCACTTGAAGTATGTACTGCTCAAACAAACAGAAAATACGGGCGTTAAAAGTGCAAAGGTAGCCTTCACCGCAACTTTAAACATGCAAATCCACAGGGCAGCATAACAATATGTCATGAAAACGTAAATAAACTGTAGTCTATTGATCAAGAAACAATGGTTTAATTAGAATTCAAACATTTGTTTTTTCTATTCTAGTAAAAGAGAATATGAGATTCCTCATTCGCTGATCTTAAACCTTGAGGAACCTGATAGCATTACATAAAAGATCAGAAGGAATAGTAACCATATAGCTAAGGATAAGTTGGGATGCTGTCATACCTCGTTTGGGGTGAGCTTAAAAACTTTACCACCAATGGTGAAGGAAACACTAGGCATGGAAGAAAGCCTTCCACAGTCAACAGCAGATTGCCCCATTGGGCTTGGCATCCGTTCACAAAGCTGCAGAGGTATACTATTGTAAAGCCGGAAAGAGACACGATTCTATTATAATTTTGATCAAGTATCATGCAACTACTTTACCTCATTGACGTAGTTCAAAATACGATCTTGTGTCTGGTTCTGCCCAAGTTGGTTTTTCATCCAGACAACCGCCATCTCACAAGCAGAGCACGAAGCATCATGAAGAATGCCAGAAGATTTCCCGTTGCTCTTATCCACCACACTCTCAATGCCCATACTATAAAGACACAACAATGAACCAACAAGTTTATTACCCAAGGCAGCAACCAATTTCACATAATGACAACAGTGACAGACATCACAGTTTTGTTCCCTAAAAACATAAAAAGTAAATATAGGGAATTCAAATAAAGCATTGCATAAAGAGCGCAAGCCCAAATAAAAGAACATTTTTTATGCTGACCTAACACTACGAGTCCCATCAAAGGTGCACAATCCAATTTGGGAACAAACCTTGTCTGGTCGGGCCTGTTGGATAAAGTATGCAAGGCAAAGTGAATTATGATCAGCTCCACTCATGACAAGATATAAGCATCTGTAACTGAATTTTATTTCACAAGAAAAAAAAAAAGTAAACTAGAATAGCAGTTACTTTTACCTCAGCCAAAAGCAGATTCATAATGGTTTGCCCATACTGTTGAGCAACTGCCTTGCATTCCTGGCTAACAACACCCTCGGCTCCAATGGCTTGATTTATCATGGTAATCACAGTCTTCAAGTAGAGAGGGAGAGAGAGATTAATCAAGACCAAAATCATTACTAGTGCAGTCACAAAACTATGCCCAAAAAAAAGCAGTTTTAAGTGCAGTGATAAAAACAAAAGAAGAAAAGAGGGCTCAGAATTCTCATTTTAAAGGTTTATAATGAAAAATTACAGGGCACAACCACTAAATAAATAAAGCATATATAAGAATTTCATGAAGACACTAAAATTTTCACATGCAGGGTTGTGGATTCAACAATAAAAATTCCCATAACCAATGCACCAAAAAGGGAAAAAGGAGAAAGAGAAAAAGAGATGGGGAAAAGAAGGAGAAGGAGAGCAAATAGACAGTTGCCACACAAACAGAAACTAGAAGATATAATGGACAGAAGTACTTCATTAGATCTATATACGCGAAGGAAGGTGATTAACATGCTCATGTATAACAGGGCCTAGTTGACAAGCGTGAGAACTTAATTCTTCAAGTACAAATCAAAACAACTTCATTTCTCATTTTATACTTCTATAAGAATATTCAGCCTGAGAAGTTAAAGGTTGAACAAGAACTAGCTAATCAAACAAGCTCGACAAAGTTATACAGGCGGAACATGCACCCACCAAGGAATTGATTAACAGAAAATCAAAGTAACAATTAAAAATTGGATTACATACTGTTGGACCTGCCAAAAGAGAAGTTCCTGAATCTGCAACGGCGAAACAGCCACCAGAACAATATCCTGAACAGCAGTATGGTTAAGTCAGAAAAACAAGGGGCCATGTACATATCATTCAGTGCACACATTTTTTTACTGTATTGTTTGTCATTTCATTGAAGTACGCTGCTTTAGGCATCAAGAAGGTACATACCAGTTGGTTTACCACCGATAAGAACATCACCCATGTCAAACTACCAAAAGAGGGAAATGAGTAAGAAAATTGGGTCAAAATAAAGGTACCATAATATGAAGAGAAAAGAAAAGAAAGTATCAGACTTCCACATTGGATATAATTGTTTCAGTACCAACCTGCCAGTAGCCTTTCTTCGTTACAGGAACATATGTATGCTTGCCCTTAAAGTGATTTGGATCAACTCCGCCAAACACAATTTCACCGCCTTCTTCTTCTTGTGCATTACGATTGAGCCAAAAGGAAAATAGTGGTTCCTTGATAAGACCTTGTTCAATCATGTTGTACCTAAAATAATATGTATGCAATCTCAAACACTGAATACTGAATACTGAATAATGAACTATTTATTTATTTGTTTCTGGAAAATAAAAAAACTAATCAATGAAAATTATAGATACAAGTGCATACCACACCGGGACAGCACTTCCAACCGAAATCTCTTGAAATCCAAGTCCTAATAAACCATCAAACTTGGCAGCCAAAAATGTGAGACCAGGCTCACTAGTTGCTTCGATAAAGTCCTGAAAATGTAAAACCAGTAATGAGAACAGTTGAATCGAAACACTGGACTGGGAGAGAGGAGAGATAAGGTGAGGGGGGGGGACGGAGTTTGGAGTTATGATTACCTGGTTTTCAATAACGATGTCCCCAACTTGAACATTGTCGTTACTAAAGAAACCTGAAATGGCTCCAGTACCATACTGGATAGAAGCAGATGTCCCTGCACAGCAGCGGACAAATATTATACTATACAGTTAACCCAAAAACAAAAGTTGCAGCATTCACATGATAATTGTCCTGTCATACCCAGTTAAAGTTGGATCTGCAGTTGTTTGTACCACATTATCAAACAAAAAACTGTGTTTTAGAAATTAGGATTCAGCTGAACCATTAATCTGGATAAGATTGTTCTAAACCAAAGCCTTTGAATTAATGATGCAATCTATAAAACATATTTTTAGAAGCAGTTACGGGTGAGCACGGAAAACAAACCATTCTTCTTGTATGTACTCGATTTGCCTGAGTTGTAGTTGGCATGGAAGTAACATGCAACCTGCACCCAAATGAAAAGCCATGATCTTGTTGTCTCAGACCAAGTTCTTTACACATCCAATAAGTTTCACTTTTGTTAAATTTACAGCAAAGTATAAATGTTAAAGCTCACCGAGAAATAACACTTGGATGATGGAACCCACAGATTAGCACTTCCGGTGTCAAAAATCACAGTGAACGTCTGGGGGGGAGTACCAATAACAATCTCACCATAATACTGAGCATCCAAGTAGTTCTTTAGGGAGACAATATCAATATCCCCAGAGTCTTCAAGATTAGCAGGAAGATGGTAATTTCTCATAGAGGCTCTCAAAGCTTCTACATTCTTGGATTCCAGCTGTGCAGCAACCCGGTTGTTTGGGTCCAATTTCACCTTTTTGAGTCCAATCCTAAACAACCCATCATTGGGTGCAGAGGAAACTAGAGAAAGCAACAAGCTTGAAAGGAACAGAGGCAACCCAACCGCTTTAAAAATAGTTCCCATATTGACCTATAAGTTCAACAAAAACCAATAAATGAAAAGTCTAATTCTGAAACACGAAAATAGTGTTCACATCATAGACAATTAGAAATACAGTATTTAAATATATGACATTTGAAAAGCAAACCGCAGCTTGATTCAGCTTCATCTGCCTTTAGACAAAGGTTACTAGCTTATATAATATAATGCGAGGCCAGGCCACAGTCTTTCTTTTTTAAATAAAAAAAAATTAAATAAAAACATCATTTTGTTCGTTTTCTCATCAAAACCCCAAACTCACTAACCAACAATGATTTGAACTTTTAAAAAACTTACAAGAAAACAAAACACTCAAATAGAAACATGCAACCATTGACTTGATCAAACTCAAAACCACCATAAATTTCATGTCAACCAAAAAATACAATGCAGAAAAGATTAAACATACAAGTACCATTTTCTACCAAAAGACGAGAAACCATTGCTCACTATCATGTTACCTAAAAGTGTAAGCAAATAATCAGAAAAATTAAATCAAACAGAGAAAATGTATTCACCGGTTTAATTGTCGCAGGCTCGCGGCAGAAGAAGAGAAAGAGAGCGAGAGGAAAGCTGGTGAAGAAACACCAAAGAAAGTGTCTTTAAAACAAGAAAAACAGAGGACCTGTCACTGTTTTAGACCCAGTGGGGTCCAGCTAAGCTCACCCTATTTGTTGCGTATTGGTATCAAGGATGTTGATCTGAGCCGTCCGTTATTGGCCTTTAACGGTCGATAACCTTTGGGCAAAGACACGATAGTCTCGTTTCGGGGACATTTTACAAAATGAAGGGTGATTAAGGGTTAAGGGAATATCATCGGAGGGTGGGTGACGTGGGTTGGTGAGATAGGGATGGCTTCATGCTCTGCGCGAAGGAAAACAGCGCGGGAATATAGTAGTGGCGTTACAACGGAATGCTTACGTGTCATGAGTTTAGAAATTTGGTTGCTTTAGCACGCGACACCTCCTCTTGCTTTCTTGCCTACTCGGCCACGTTTGGGGTCCACACGCTGAGCTGTTTTGTTGGGTTACACATGAAATTTGTCTCTCTCTTTTTCTTTTGTTTTTTGGTTTGCACCTGAAATTTCACCATTAAAGGTGCTTATGAGGTTATGTTTGAGTAAGCACTTCTAAATGATCTCCTGATAAGTATTTCAGTTTTTAGTTTTAACGTGCTGTCGATAAAAACGCTTGTGAGCAGAAATGCTTTATACTCAAATGATGTAGATATACTAATAACTTGTTAGTTTGTAAACAATTTCCTTTTGGATGTCTATTTAAAAATACATGAATTTAATTATGGTGGGGGAGGATTGGACAATTGAAATGATTAATATATTCCCTACAAGCAAAGAGAATAGAGGCTTGGAACCTTAATTGTCCAAAGCTAAATAAATAAATATTATGCAAGCTAAAGCTAGTGTAAGGCCAAGGGTGATTGCTGCTGAGTGCAAGAAAGAAAGTGCTTCCCTCCAATCCAAGGCACGTCTGCTGTTCTTTTTAATTTGTTCATTCTACTTTATCCATTATCCTCCTTTGTTTGTTGTAAAAAAATTTCATTCTGCTCTCTCCCATAACAAACACAAAGCTTGACTTGAGTTTTTTTTTTTCTTTCTTTCATACGAGCGATATTCTATTTTAATTTAATCTAAATTACATAAAAAGAGGTTCGAACTCAGGTGCAAAATTGACTTCAGTTGAGGAGCCCTTTTCTTATTACCATTGGTTGAACTTGAACGGAACTAAGTATAGATGTATGAAGAGGGCCCAGATTTAGAGCTTGGGCTTCTTTGGCCAGATTCTGCCTGGGCCAGTCTATGAAGGTCTATCTTGTTGTTTTCGTCTTTCTTTGTGGCAGACAAGACTAATAGCTATTAGCTGAGTCCAGAAAGACCATTTTGGAAGCAAAGACAGCTCGTTCTATATAATTTTATCATGCCTTTGTCAATGAATAAAATTATTTGTACTATATTTATTTTTAAATATTTGTATATATTTAAAAAGTATAACCGCGGGTGGATATACTATTTAAAATTCAAAAATGTAATTTTTAAGTATTTTTGCGTTGCGCTATACTATGTAAATCCTCTGTTTGACAAACCGAACAATGCCATTATGCTGGTAAGTAGAAGAAAAAAACCCACAACAATGGGGGTGAAGTAGCTCGTCGAAATCCACAAAAACACTAATCACAACGTCCAACTCCCAACAATGAGCTTTAATGATCAAGCAACTCTCACATCAAGAAATAAAAGCACCAATTCCTTTGCGGAACACTTGGATTGGAACACACTGAGCAGTCTGTCTCTGTACTAGAGTCTTCAATTTTCCTTGATAGCTGGTCCTAGCAATTCCTAATCCACTTGCAAGTTGCAACACAAAACATCTTCTTTTAAATCTTGATATCCTCATCCAAGCAAACACGAATAGAAGATTCTTTATCTGTATAGCCGCCGCATCCAAGCGAGCAGCTACAGGTGCTGCATCCATCTTTTCCCATTTAAATTATGGTCCAGGAAAATCAACGACAGTATAGCCGCACGGCTGTACTATTAAAATATAATTTAAGTGTATAGCCGGGCGGCTTTACTATTAAAATATTAAAATATTAAAATATAATTAAAGCCTAAAGCGGGGCGGCTGTACTATTAAACTATTCAAATATAATTAAAGCGTATAGCCGGACGGCCGTACCTCTAAAATATTAAAATATAATTTAAGAGTACAGCCAGCCGGCCATACTGTTAAATATTTATATTTTGTATTGAAAGCAGATTTAGAGTTTGGGCTTCTTGGGCCAGACTCTAATGTCGTGGCTCTTTGTGTTCTTATATGTTAACAGTGAAGCCTGCCCCAGTGTATGAAGGTATTTCTTGTTGACTTGGTCCAGAAAGACCATTTTGGAAGCAATGACAGCTCGTTCGTTCGTTGTATATATTCCCTCTGATCAGGCAACAAGAGAAGAAGACTCTCTGTCAATGAATTAACAAAATTATTTATTTATTAATATTTATGAAGAGATAATGTTTCAAATATATGAATATGGTGGGTTTGATTTTGGGGATTTTATTGTATGTAATTTTCAAATTTATTTATTAAAAAGCTGCCCCCAAAAAAAAAGTGAAGTGATTTATGATTTACTAACAAAGTGGGAAACCAAAAGATCCCAAAAGAAAATATATGGGAATATGTATAATAATCCAAAAAATAAGAATTTCTTTCTACAGGCTACAGGTACACAGTTGTGTTGTTATGAATTCATTGATTGGGTGCAGTAGGTTTGGTATTGGTAGTAAGGTCAAACCTTGAAAAACAGTCGTAAATATCAAAACTGCACGTTCGCATCGGATGTCATAAAAATCAAAGTCTTTCCCTTTCAATATGGATCTAGATTTCTTCAGCTCAAGAATAAGAGATGAGATGAGAGACAAGTCTTCCAAATTCCAACTGGTCACACACTCACATGCAAGCACGCGGATATCATAAAAGACAAGTCTTCGTCTTCCACAGCCGCCGCCACCACTACCACCGCCACCAATCAAACAATTGAATTTGAACCCCATTACTTGTAACGGTGTTATCCTATTATCCCTATTGTATGAGATGAGAGTTTTTGTCCATCAATGGATAAAGAGTAGTCTTCGAAGAGTAAAAGATCCCCTCTTCCTCTTGTACGGTGGATGAGGTACGGTTGCTGCTGCTGCTGCTGCTGCTGCTGCTGGTGGCCCACAACGCTCCACGTTACGTATGGTCGACCTTTTCTTTTTCTTTGTAATATGTAATGAAAGGCAGTGACGTGATGTCAAACTCAGTGCCCAAAACGTCAACAACGTATCCTATTGAGTATTAGCAAAGCAGAAGCAGCCCACAATCCACGAAACTAAACAACCAATCCAAGTTGCCTTTTTCTTGTCTATTCTTCGTTTTGTATGAATTTGACCTCCTCTCTAATTTATTCACACGCAGTTGCCTGGAAGTCTCTGCTAAGTCTATGGTACCCACCATTATACGTGTCAAATGGAAATGGCCGAATTCGTTGACTGGAGCCGTAGCCCTCGGCCTATCAAATGAGAATATTCCACGTTATTGTTCCCTCTCTCTCTCTCTCTCTCTCTCTCTCTCTCTCTTTTTTCTTTGTGGGTTTTCTTGTAAACAACGATTTCCGTCTCTGTCTGTCTTGCTTGGTATGTTGTGGTCAATGTTTGTTAATTAATCATCACATTACACGGAAACTACATAGAAACCAAACATGTATGTAGTACTTGTTGTCATTCATTGGAATAGTAAATAATACATATATGTAAACGAAGCTACTTTTCTGTTTTCGTGTGTATTTACTGAAAAATTTGAATCAAATTATTCAAAACAAAAAAGAAAAAAAGAAAGAAAGAATGAAGTTGTGATCGATCTAACGACGATTCTAAACCCTCCCCAACAACAAGAACAAAAGATATGAACATGTTATCTCGTTCTAGACCCCAAAAACAGAAGCAGAAACCTGACTGAGACACGGCCAACACTAAAATAAAAATCAACAAATTAACAAAAAATAATAGGTCCCCCAATATCCTAGTTAATGTCCTGGGAAGCCGCTCATTTTGCTGTTGCCGTTGTTGTTGTTGCCTCCATTGCTGTTGTTGGAGGTCGTCGAGGCGCTGTTGTTGTTGTTGTTGTTGTTCGGATGACCTCCACCGATGATGGAGGTGATGGCGGCCGCAAGAGCAGCAGTGAAAGTTGGGTCGGCAGTTATGGCAGCTGTAGCGGCACTCACCGTGTCAGCGAACGAGGCAGACTGAGTTTGATGCGGCAAATGTTGTTGCTGCTGTTGGGAATTAGACCCCATTAAATCCTGAGACAGCTGAAGCCCAGAAAACTTGGATTGGTTATAAAGGGCCTGTCCGAAAACTTGAGGCAGTTGTGGCTGTTGCCCTGGGAAAGGGACTTGAAATTGGGACTGTGGTCTTTGGAACTGTAATGGGGTGGTGGTGAGGTCCAATGTGACAGTAGGGAAAGGAGCAGAGGCTGAGATTGTTGCCACACTTGATGAGCATGGAAGAATTGCTCTGGCTAGCAAATTGTTTGGGTTCATTATCCCGTCTGCGCTTGACATGGAGCCTGAAAGCAACATGCTTGCTGCTGCTGTTGTGGTTGATGCCATGGCCATTGCAGCTGGAGGCAGAGGGTGGTTATGGTTGCCTTCATATGTTGTGATCAATATGGTTCTGTCCTCAGCACAACGTTGTACCTATCAAATAATTAACATATATACATGTATCAGTACTTTTAAATCTAACCAGTTTTAATTAAATTTTCAAATTGATCATATCATTAAAATGAAACATACTTGTTTGCGAACAGGACAACCAACAGCCATGGTACATCTATAATATGCACGAGGACATGGGTTTCCTTTTGCCATCTTTTGTCCGTATTTTCGCCATTGACATCCATCAGTAATCTGCAATCAATCGATCAATCGCGATTAATTCAGCAAAGATGGAGACTATGAATTAATTTATTGCTGCCGAGTGAAGTTGAACCATCTTAATTAATTACTTACCATGGGAGCTTCTGATCTGGCTCGAACCGATACGCGGGCTTTCCTCATGGTGGCCTCGGTGGATTGATCAGTTGGCTTATTAGCTGCGGAGTTGAGCTTAGGAGCCTTGTTGGGCACCCAGCCTTGTGATTCAGATTCAGGACTCTCTTCCCTTCCAACCCTTTTACCATCCCTGAAATTGTTAGAGTTTTCGGGATCCAATGGACCAATCGGATGATCGTTTTTCTTCAGGTGATGATCTTTTGATGATGCAGCTTCATTAATGTTCTGAGGTGAAGCCGATCGGGTTCTGGCTTCTGATGAAGAATTGGAAACTTGGTCATCGGTCTCGGCTGTGGCCCTGGGGCCCAAGTTTAGAAACTGCCTTGGCATCAACGCTTGTTTCTTCTCTTGATCAGACTTTGCTTCAACATTCTGATAATTCATTATACCAACAAAAAACAATAATATGTTAAGCTATTTGACTCATATAGTTAATCGAGTTATGATCATTAAGGCAAACGATATTGAATTATAGGTACCTGATCATGGTTTAATTGAGAGCTTTGATCAGCCGAGGCTGTTTGATTTTGCTGCTGCTGTTGTTGCATTACAGCTGCAACATGCATCTGCAGAGCACTGTAGTTGTTGGTCACCTGACCAAGCATTTCTTTCAGCCTCAGATTTTCAGAATTCATACGTTGGAGCTCCACTTGCAACTGTGCCAGCTGATTATGATGATCAACCCAAAATTTTATATTATTAATTAATTAAGTGGGTAATACTAATAATAATATCCTTAAATAGCATAATTAGCAAGCAACTAATAGAAAGTTGATCAACTTTAGTCTAAGAATAGGAAAATTCTGATCATGAATTTGCTTTCTGGTGGGTGTTCATCTCATTAATTACCTCATGATTCTTTGCTCTTTTGTTATCCACATCGGATGAAATCCCATCATCAACCATTGACTGATCACTTCCGGTGTTAGCAGTAACAAGGTGCAAGCCAGTCTATTTTTAGATTATTTAAATAAAAAAAAAGTAACAAGAAAAAAAATAAGTACCACTGAAAATTAAATATCTGTTACATGCAAGTAGTATTATATATAAATTAATGAGAACTAATTATTTTCCATATATAACAAATAAAAAAGAAAACTCAAAATTGAAATTGTGGGGTGCTTACATTTACATCCAAGCCAGTCCAATTCTCCTTCTTGACGCTGATTGTACCGTTGGATTTCAAATCCTGATGATGATCATCAGCGGTTGTAGTATTGCAGAAAAGAAGTCGACCTCGTCCACAACCACACGATTATTGTTGTCATGAATGGATGGCTGTGGACCAGCCAGCTGGTCTTCCCTGCCGCCAAGTTTGACGGGGAATTCCATACCCGGAAACATCCTTTCTCCACCAAAAAAATTGCTTCTCTTGTTGTTGTTTTGATGATGATCAAGCTTAACAGCAGCCGGGGGCTTGTTGAGGAAGAAGCCGAAGGAGTCAGAATCAAGGGTGAGCCCCCATCCTTTGTCCATAAAATTATATAGTATTTTGGGATGAACAGATGAAGAAGTTGATGCAGAAGAGCAACGAAGACAGATAAACTTGCAGAGAGAAGAGAGAAAGACAGAAGAGATGAGAAGGGGTAGGCTTTAAGAGACTGAGAGAGGAGAGATGGGGAAGAGGGCAGAGAGAGAGAGAGAGAGAGATGAGGGGTGTGTGTGGGTGAAGTCTGTGAAGTCTTTTACCGGTGCAATGTGTTCGCCTATAAAAAGGGTATGGACGTAGACCAAACTGAGAACAACTAGATTGGATTTGTGAGAAATTCGTGGGATTATTTATTTTCCTATTTATTGATTTTTCCTTCCACACTTGCGTCAGTTGGTGCGTCAGTCTGCCACTTGTCAATACGGGCCACCCCTTTTAACTCCATTGTGACCCGACCCACATGGTAAGATTACACACAAACAAAGTCAGGCAAAAGAGGTAGATTTGAGTTAAGTCAGTCGGTAAGGGTAGTGACTTTGTCTCTTTATACTTGAGTTTCAATCTCCTTTTTAATAGATTAGATTAATTTAAAGTAGTTTGGATTATCACTTTAAGCAAGTCGGTTAGGCTAGTGAGCTCGTCCTCTTGCACTCAAATTCAAATTTCTCTTTTTTATAAATTAAATGAATTAAAATTAATTAAGGCTATAGCTTGCTTGTATTAAAAATAATAATAAAGTAAAAGAGTGTTTTTGGGGTGGGGTTTCTTCCACATTTCGTCAAGAAAGAGTTTGACTCATTCTCATAAATCAAAGGAAAGTGTATGACACAACAAAAGAAAGAAAGAAAGGAAAAAAGAAATGAATCCCACCGCCCCGAAGTGTGCGGCGCGTTCCACGTGAGGAAATAAGAAAAAAGAGCAAAAGGGGCCCAATTGGCCCAAGCCAAGTCAATGATTTTGACGGCCCGCCTCTTCCTCTCTCTTGCTGTGACTGATGACCGG